CGATTCAAAAGCACAGCCGAGATTGACTCGCTGTGACTGCTTTATTACTCACAACTGGCAGGTGCGACGTTCTGGCGAAAGTGGACCAAATTCATCATAATCAGAAACAATGTACAGATTTATCTGAGATGTTTTCAGAAGCACCTTTAAATCGGGTCAGAAAACAAACCATCTATTTTAATTTGTTGCCTTGACAGAAATATGGACTTTTAAAGGGGCGGTGCTACGTGTTTCCCAGGCATATAGTGCCATTTTATTGCACAATCAAGTAACTATGATAACTTCAGTTGTTAGAAAAATGCTGTATATATTAAATATGACTTTAAAAATTTACTTTGTATGTAACACCTTGAAATTGAGCTTCTGTCTCCTTAAGAAACTCCTTCTCTTTCTGAAGCTCCACCTCCAAGAAGTCATCACAGCATGACTCCTCTATAAACCCTTTAACAATATTCTTACCAGGGTTTCACTGAGAAGTAACTTGTATAATGAGCTCAACCACCAGGTGTTTGCTAATTGCTGCTGGCTAGTCTGAAGGAGCAGAGTAGGGGAGTCACAAGGGAAGTCTGCTTTACATGCTGTGGAGACTTGGAAGCTTGAAAACTGCAGCTCTGGGGAGGAACTTCTTCTTGAAGGTGGGGCTAGGTGCACCCAGGTGTTTTGCTCAGCTGAATGGTTGCCATGGGAGATTAAAGGATTTCTCAAACATGCATAAAAGAATCAAGGCAACATTCTAGGTATGTTTTTGATGAGTGAATAACATCATAACATGTTGTAAAACTCAAAAATGTCAATTTAACAATATATTGCCCCTAATACATTATCTAAAGTTCTTAAGCGACTTGGTTCTAGAAGGTGATTTGTCCAATCAAACTATAGGCTTCCATGGCATTGATGGAGCATTCACACTCTGAGGGTTAAATGTTTGTCACTGATCCACCTGGCCGCTTCGCCAGCCATCCATCATCTGTTGTTTAATCTAAGATCAGGTTGTAAGGGTAACAGGTCCAGGTGGGAATATCCTTCTCCCCAATGACACTTCAGCTGATTCCCAGGGATTCCTGCTTGTTCCCAGGCCAGAAGGTTCCTCCCTCCCCCCCACTTCACTTCTAGGTTGAACATGTCTGGAAAACCTCCAAATGTAGGTTAATTATCTCTACAGCTGAGCCCAGCCACCCTAAGAACGGCTCCCATTTTAGTCTGTTGCATCTGGAATCCCATATCTCAGTGCTATCAAACTTATTTTCATTTTGAGTCACATCAAGATTATGAATGTTTTCAAAGAGGCAGATTTGCTAGAATGTACTGATAAAACCGAGTTACAAATTGTTACAATATTAATAAATACAAAATCTTTTCTCATTGATCAGACTCCTGGATTTTGCAATTGTTTTTTGTGATGTTTGTGTGTGCGCTGAAATAGAAATATTTGTAAAGAACTGCAATATTTGTGCTGGTCCATGACGGTAAATGTGACTTTTTGTTACTCGCTGCATCGATCATGGACTACAGCTTGACGTCACGGCAGGCTGAGGCAGCACTGAGGTGAAAAGTATCACTTGAACTGAAAATGTGCAGAAAATGTGCAATAAATTCACAAATATGCAATACGCAGGGATATGTTGATTTTGCGTTCATTTCTACAATTGCGAGTTGTGAAAAAACAATTGGAGTGACTGTAATTTGGCAGTTTACAGGTAAAAGTTGCTTCGGTTTGATTGGTACAATATTATTTAAGATATTTAAGCACACAATTGTTAACTTGAAGCTTCTGGTGTCCAGAGGGCCACATAAAAAGCTATGAATGCTTCATCCTTCATCCTCATCAGTTCAAGAGGTACCTTCTACAAAATGACAGATTTTTTTGGTAAGGGATATGCTTCTCTGATCTCTTCAGAACTAAACAAATGTCCAATCGGTTTCTTATACCCACCCCACCTGAACCTACCTTTGGTTTGTTTCCGCTGGTGTCAGACACCACCCTCCAGTCAGAGCCGTTGTTGCTGTACCCGAGGCGGAACTTCTTCATGAAGACCTTGTTCTCACGGTATTTCCCTCCCTGGATGATGAACCCTTTAACCAGCTTTTCTTCACCGAGATCCACCTGCAGCCACTCATTGGTGAAGGGCTGCGGCTGGGGCAGCAGCGTCCACCCGGTCCTGCTGGTGAGAAGGCGGGCGTTCTCGGGCACCCAGCTCCGGTCGGTGTGAGAGGACGCCGTGATCTGGTTGTCTGTGATCAGGCCTGACACCATGCCCAGCATGCCGGAGCAGGGGTACTCTGAGAGATGAGAGAGGAACAGGAAAATGTGCTTAACTTTTTGTTTTTTTGATGGAAATCAATTGAAACCCCCGCAGAGATGCAACTTATGTACAGAAAGAACTTCATCTTTAACCAAAGGGGTCGATGTCCAAGATCATCTAGAGTGGTAAGAGGATAGTCTGGGTCTGAGTCTTGCATACAGGATGGCCAAAGTCAAAGGGAGGAGGCTCATTCCCCAAACTCTTTGTGATGTTACTGTGATCTCTACCTCTGTTCTCTGTCTCTCTATGTGTTGGTAGCTCTCGTGCATACTAATTCTTCAGCCTGAAGCGATTGTCTCCAGGCAGCCAATTAAAACTCTCTTCCCGGCTGGTGCTTCCACCTCCTGCATTCTGGGAGCCCTGGTTTTTTCTTCTTTCTATCTCTCTGCCCCCTCTCCATAGACTTACATGTATCTACACACGAAAACAGTCTCTTTGTGCTGTTTTTGCTGCCACAGCAATCAACTCGCCTTCTGCTTCACAGCTGTCAACATCTGTGGGACTATATCTTTGAACGTATCGTTGTTTGCCTGTCCGGTGTCCCAGATTTCCCTCGTTCTTTGAACTACTTCTCTGATCTTGTCTTCAGCTCTTGATGAATTTTAGCTCTTTGCACCTTTTGCATTTGGTTCCAAAGTCAAAACGCACGTCTTTTCAGATTTACTTCATTTTTGTTTGTGAACTTTATTTACACTCAAAGTTGAATGGAGGAGGCTAGAAACCTTTTGGTATTCAAGCATTTTGCTGTTCTTCCATCACTTCTCCAAATCTTTCATTCAAACCCAAAAACAACAAATCTAGAGACCTTAAGTAGCTTATTATATCTCCGCTATAGAAGAAAAACTGTCGCTTGTGTTCATTTTAGAAAAAAGCGTACATTTTCAGCTTTGCAGCACTGTGGGAGAAAAACAGAAAAAATATTTGCAGAACAAGGCCTCTTTCAGCCAACCTCTGCCTATGTGAAATGGTTCCCATGAAAACCCATGAGATGAATTCCTGGTTGTGCAATGAAAAAAAAACAAAAAAAAACCCAGCTATCGCTGAATGCACAGACGCATTTTTCTGGGACTTTCCTCCTGTTTTTCTTTCGTCTTAGGCCAAGATGTGTTGAAAGTGATCAGAGGAGCTGGCTTTTGGCTGTGTGAAACGAAGACACTGCGATATGAACGCCTTTGAAGTGAGGAGAATTCAAGGGAAAGGTGCATGTGTGTGTGTGTGTGTGTGTGTGTGTGTGTGTGTGTGTGTGTGTGTGTGTGTGTGTGTGTGTGTGTGTGTGTGTGTAGAGATAAAAGCAACTGATGCGACTTCCCCTCAACCCCCCAGATCATCTGGAGCTGTTAATCGAGCTCAGCTGCGATTACAGAGGCAGCGCACACGCCGTGACACGCCCTGGTGGAACAACTGTTTACATTTGTGTGTATGGGTAAGAGGAGTGACAATGATGCAGGCCTGCCGGCCACAACCGAGGTTTGGGTGGAGCATCGGCGGTTCATCCGAGCTATTTTCGGCGCTGTGGCGTATTTACCAACAACTGGGTGGTGGATCCTTTTATTAATGAGTAGCTGTTTGCATCAGAAGGCACGCGACCATGGTCATATGCGGCGAAGAGTTTTGTGACATTCAACCCACCCTCTCTTGAAATCTCCTGAATAACTGCTTTGACGTTAACCGAAGACACGACCTCTCAGACCGAACGCCTTTCCTCTCTGGTCTCTGTCACATTTCGGTGCGTTGCTTTGGCTGTTCGTGATTCAATGAAAGCAACGATGAACTCAGAAAACTCTCCGTAGGATCGAATGTGGAAGAGGAGAGTCGAGTCACAGGGTTTGTGCAGCCCTGTACAGCCTCGGTTTCCCTCTGCCCGACCATGCTGGGAGCTGGCAGAGTCTTCAGAGAACCAATGGGCACTAACGTCATATTGGAGGCCGTGCGGTGACTTCGATCCTGTGATGTGTTTACGCGCGGTGCAGCGCTCTGATTATGTGCCCCGCACACAGGCCTCAGCTGTAACCCCCACTGCACCCACAGTGCCATCTGCTCTTATAGGATTGACCACACATATGTGATGCATAAGGGACTCATTGCCTAATAATAGAGAGGAGGACCACAAAGTCACTTCACAATTTTGGCTCCAAATAATCCCGATTCCATTATGGGCTCTGTTACCGATAATCAAGGTTTGAAAGAGGTTGCCGTTTAAAGGCGCAATCATTTTTCATCATACCATTCCTGGGGTTGAAAGTCCTTTTAAAGTGATAGCGAATAAAGTCCAAGAGTGACCCGAGTCTTATCCAGCACTGACTGACACTGTAACGCCCTCTCCCCACCTGTTGTTGCACGTTATCATCAAGCTGAAAGAAGGCTATGAGGTTTGTTTTGTTTTTTTAAGGTTACTTTCACACTAGCCCTATTTAGTACACTTTTATTGAACTTTGTTAGAAGTGAACTCTGGAAGGAGGAAGTTGCACTTGTGTCTTCTTCTGTGGTTTTCGTGTTGTTTCTTTTGGAAGCTCCCCATCACAGGTGAGGGGGTAAACAGGAATTTCAAAGGGTCTGGATCGGTTTACACAGAACCAATCAGTGAAAGTGAACCCCATCAGCTGAAAATGTAACAAATGTTGCAATTCTGGTCCCCAATATAACTGAGTCTACTGGACTATCAGGGGTGAAAACACTAAGAAGAATAAATCTGGTTGGGAATATTTCCAATCGTGAACACCAATACAAGCATGAACAGATACACTGAAAGGATGATGTTTTTTTGACTTGAAGTCACATTTGGTCCTTAACCCTCACACATTTCTTTAATTAATAAGTAATTTTTTGGCAAACGTTTTCTTTTCTTTTTTTCTTTTCTTGCCAAAGTCACTTTTGGAGGTGACAATTTACTACTTACTATTGGTTTACAGTTGGATACGCATCATGTTAAATTATTTTAAGAATTTGAGGAGTTCATTTTTTACAGTCATTGCAGTTTTCCTTAAATTTTCCCCTTCGATTATTTCTAGAAACGTCTTTGTCCCAGAGGTACAGAGGTAAATGACCCAAGATGTTAAACATCCCAGTAACTCGCCATGCCTGCAGGTGTTTCTATGTCTGATGTGGGGCTAGGATCCAGATGAGTGTGTTTGTAACATAATTTAAAAACTGTAACACAGAAATTGCTTACACTGAAATCTAACACATACACCTCACTTGATAAAAAGTAAAAAAAATAAATAAAATAAGTCACCCCCAAAACAGAGGCAGATAACATCGTCATAACGATAATAATCAAATTCTTCTGTTATTCTAGCAAGATCAGAAGCAATTGATACATTTCTGATAAAAAAAATGTTTAATCATGATACACATTCTGCATAAATGCGGTGAGAACCTCCTTCTGGCCCAGACCCATTCAAGATGTTGACAGAAAAAAAAAAGACTAACTCTTTTCTGCCCTTAATTTAGTCAAGCAGGAATCCAAATTGAATACACATGTTCGTATCCCACAGAGACAAAGATAAATGTGATAAAGCCACACTAACTGGAGCCACCGGCATACACACACTAATTTAAAACATCAACAAAAGGGCAAGGGGAAGAAAACTGTTGCTAAAATCAAAGTTACATAAGCAAAAAGAAAGAGAGAGAAAAAAAGCTGTGGCTAACGAGAAGGCTGAGCTCAGATCAGCAAGAGCCCACCCAGCTCCATCAGCAGATGCATACCAGCTGTTTACTCATTTATACTGAATGAAATTCATCTAAACACGAAGTCATGTTAATAGATAATTCCCATTCCGTTGCCACTATTTGGTATTATGCAGCTGGGGCCTGGACTGGGAATAAAAACCAGACAACTAACTGAGGCAGCAGAGTGAGTTTGGAGTTCTGAAGTCACTGCGGCTAAAAACGAGTTTTGTATTTTCAGGGATGGAAAGGTGAATCATGGGTAATGCAGACGAGCATCAGATGTAGCCAACCTGATATTTTGCAGCCGTAGACCTCGAAGCGCAGCGCTATACCCGTTTCCCAGGTAACTGGACGGATGCGGAGGAATCGCGTCAGCGTGGGTTTGGGCAGCTTGGTCTTGGTGACATCCGTTGGGTTGGTGTTGCCCTGAAAAATCTGTGAAAGAAAGGCGGGAAACAAACTGATTATTGACAAAATACAGGGAAGGAGACACATAGAGGGAAACTAGAGTTCATATTAGCTGCATTTCCTTTAACAATAAAATTGCACAAATCAAAATGAATGGAAACATGCCAATTTCGAAAAAAAATATATATATTTTTGTGCTAGGATGAGGTGGTTTACCAGCCATATTGAAATAGTACTTGGGAAAACTGCAGTGGAAGCACTTTTTCACATCACACAATTCATGTGATCAAGTGCCGGATGTTGCTACTAGTGGAAATGCAGAAGAAGACGACAGGAAGTGGTAAGAGGATGATGGTTTGTTTTAGTTTTTTTTTTTTGTTGTTTTTCAGACAACATGCAGCTGGCTCCACTAGAGCTCTCACAGCATCACACAGTTCATAAAACGTTGTGTGTCAATCCGACATGTTGAATCCACAGCTCTTCTGTAAAATTGCGCACTACAATTTCCCCAAAGCACCATATATATGTAGCCTCTCCCAAGTGGGTGAGGCTTGTCACTCCAATGTTTCCTCTGATGACTGATAGATGATGAGTGCTAATTTCTTATTTAATGGAAACACAAAAATTGCAAAATTGCGTTTTATCAACAACAGTGGAATTTTGACAAAGATTTTCATACATTTGCAGTGGAAACACAGCCAGTGCCAAAAAACAGCTGTAAGTTCAAGATGTTTCACGTAAATCTCAAAATTGCATTAACGTTTCCTGAACAGAGTGTCAGAAGTTGCTGAAATGTCAAGAGGAAAGGAGACGCCCTTGCTTCACATGTCACAGTCGAAGCAGGGGGAAATGCTGTGAAACCTGAGGCTGGATGTGTAACAATGATCAGATCCGATTGGCTCAGGGTGCCCTTTCACTGTCCTCCGCTCCCAGATCGGGTGTGGGGTTTTTACTGCGCCTGTCTTGTCGAAAGGTCAGAGACGCCGGTGTTCTCCCCTGGGGTCAGATGACTATTTACTAGCGCTACACGACGAGGCCGGCCACCCAGCCGAACGACCGCCTGCGGTCCGTCACAGTTCATTCTGAGTAATTGAATCTCAAAGGTAACCATGCAGCCTCCTGACCTCCCTGACTGAGGAGTTATGAGGCGGAAAGGATTCCAGCTGAGCAGAGTGGGATGCACAGATGGAAAGATGGCAGTTTAGCTAATCTAAGATGAACTGAAACGCGGCTGGGGCTGATCCATTAGACCAGGCGGCCTGCTACCAAGTCCCTCACCCGGCATACCCGTCGTCTACATCGCTGAGGGACCCTTCTAAAGTCGGCCACTTCCTTAAATGCCGTGCAGCGTCACCTCTCTGCTCGCTAACTGTAAAGTGGCTTTTTTCTTTTTCCTGAGCTGCGCTAAGACGCCAAACTGCAGGCTCAGCATGTAGCAAATGGTACCCTTCCACACAAAAGCACTTTAGAGGCCGGAAAAACACACGGCAAGCTTTAGGCGGCACCTTCAAGCTGCCACTTTACAAAGGGAACAGTGTACTCTGGAGAGAGGCCGATAAAAGAATCAAGCTTGGGGTGGGGGAACGATTGTTAGGATGGTTTGTTGAGGCTGGGAATTTTATTTGTACTCATTGTTTTTTTGTTTTTTTTCTTATGGGTTTTTCCACACAAATGAGGGGACTGTGAAGGGTCCAAATGCATCTTTGGCCCCTCCGGACACCTGCAGCTGAAGCTGCCTTCGTCTGCAGATGGACAAAGCAGGGCCTTTTTGACGAGTCCGATCAGCGATCAATGGTTAGAGCCAGTCACACTCCGGTCAAGCATGTCACTCGTTTTACTTCCTTCCTTTTTTTTTTTTTCTCTTTAGTCTTCGAGGTCCTCCTCTACCAGCTGCTCAGACATGACAAGCTATTCTTTCATTCAACTTTCCCACCTATTTGTCACTGCAACTGACATCTATGCTTTCCTGCAAGCAGCAAGCAGATATCAATTGAAGTCATGTGCCAAAATCAATAATCTAAAAACAAAAGTTTTCCAAAAATACTTATGAAGTCAATATATAAAAAAGGTTTTACAGTTTTATATATTTGTTAAGGATACATCACCATCTGTATTGACTGATCTCAGTCATTTTTTAACTCATTGTTATTTATTCAATAAGTAAGCACGTCAATATTAGTATCAAATCTTTTTTCAAATTCAAGTTTGAAAAATTTGTTGTTCCTCTTACAGCAACAATAATGCGTTCTGGTGAACAAAGTTTATCTTTAGTCACTGAAATGTTTCAGTTCAAGTCAAAGGAAGCACAAAAAGTTTCATTAAACTATTTACTAAAACATGCGGAGATGTGTTAGTTTGATTCATTCAGCCTAATATTAAATCTATTAAGTTACCATGTTAAACCAACTCAAATAAATTAAGTTTGACAAATTTAATTAACTCTTTTTTTTTTAAGTTGGAGCGTCATTCTCTTTTTTCAGCGCACACAGATGGGTGTTTGTCAGCCAAACTAACAATGCTAACTGGCTAATGCAAGGTGGTGAAGCCGTAAATAAGCGATTGGAAATTGGCCAGAAAATTCCCATTGTCGTTCTTTAAAAACCATTCCCACATATGATTTGCGGTCTGAAGCAGATATTTGAGTCGTACCTTCTGTTTGGAGCCTTCTTTCAAGGTGATCCAGTCCTCTCCGTTGGAGCTGACGTCTACTTTGTAGGACTTGACAAAGTATATCTTGTGAGTCTCCTGGGAAATGGCACCCTGTGTCCCGATGGCAGAAATGAAGCGCAAAAAGCCGAGGTCCACCTGCAGAGGGGATGGAGATACAATTATAAGTTTGGGTTTTTACAACATAGGTAACATGCAACGCTCTGTTCAAATCAGGAGCAACCTTTTAAGAGAGGCTTATAATCCACAGTTGGTATTAATAAAACACAAGCAAGTAGGGGAAGGTAAAACCAGAGAATCACCTCTGGCCACAGTCTCATCAACTTCCAGCAGGAATTTAATAAACACCAATGAAACGATAGGCGCATTAATGAAAAAGACACGGGATGACAACTTAATTTCCTGAGATGGGAGACAAGAGGCTGCTGGATGGGAGTAGAAAAACGTCTGGAATCACATTATCAAAATCGGCCAGGAGGAAAGAGGGTACAGAGTGAATATAAAACGCTGTGCATTTAAAATATGCAGGAGGGGGAGGGATGGGGCATTTACGGACTGCGGTACCTTTCCTCACGGTTGATACATTTTCACACAGAAAAAGCCACATGCAGCGGGGTCAGACGGGTGCATGAGTCTATAGCTATGCCGAGTTTTTTGTTTGATTTATGCGTACGTGGATTTCGTTAATTTGAGCTTGTTTATTTCCAAAGATCCGCACACTGAGCCTGTTCACAAGGGTGACCACAGATGCCAGGAAAGAATGAGCGCAGACACCACTTTATGTTCTGCTGACATCTGTTTATGTGGCAGCAACAGGATCCAAATTGGCTTCTAATTATGTAAATGATGCTGTCTATCACAAGCGGGACCAGAGGTCTGAATAATACCTATGCTGAGAAACAAACAGTACCCTTAAAAGTGAACTTCTTAGTGTTTCATCATGCTGCACACTGGATCTTAAATGTATTTTATTGGTATTTTATGTTATAAACCAAAAGAAAGTAGAGCATGATTGTGAAGTGAATGATGTGTTTTTATAATCTCATTAGTATTTTTTTTTTGTTATTATTTTGTGTAAAATGATCTGAGAAGTATACCGAATGGGTTTTGAGAAGACAGAAAGTAGCGCTTTCTGAAAAAGATGCAGAGAGTTTGATTATGTGTTTGTTTATTCTGCAGCAACCCACAATGCAATGCTTATCTGGCCACGGAAAGGCGTTTGGTTCAAGGTTGCGGCATACACTTGGTATTTAGTTGGTTATGTTAAACTGACCAAAAATTCAGGCCTAAAGACCTGACTAAAAGGAGGACTTGTAAACTGATGTTAACAGTTCTTCTGTATCTGATTTAAGCTTGATGAAGAGCGAGCAAAAAAAGCCTTGAACAAATGAGCAAATGTGTTTATATGTGAAAAGAAAACCCACGTAGACTTGGAATTGCAGGTTTTGATGAAAACCACACTTTAGTAAAACAAAAAATTTAAAGGGGCAGTATTATGTAAAATCTTTTTTTTTTTTACATTTACAACTTGTTATAATGTTATTCCCTCATCAAAAACCTGGAGTGTTGCCATGATTCTTCCACACATGTTCGAGAAATCCTTTAATCTCGATGGCAACCATTCAGCTGTGCAAAATACCTTTTTGGACCTAGCTCTGTCTTCGGGACGCAGACTCTCCAATTAAAAAACACCTATAGGAGCTACTTATTAGTGAAACGCAGGTAAAAAGTTTGTTAAAGCGTTAATAGAGGAGCCATGTGATGCCTTCCTGAAGGCAGAGTTTCAGAATGAGCAAGAGTTACTTAAAGAGACAGAGGCCCAATGTCAAGGCGTCAAATTACAACGCCTATTTGATAGTTGGTAAATATGGTATTTTCATAACAACTGAAGGTAACACAGTTATTTGATTGTGTTTTCAAATGGCACAATGTGCCTGGAAAACATATAATGCTGCCTGTTTAAAACCGTGTATCATTTCCTTCCAACGCACATTAACTTTTCATTAGTCGATTGAATAAAATCCCAATAAAAGTACAGTGACATGTGTGGTCATAGTATGACAAAATGTGAACAGGTTCACAGAGTACGGACAGCTTTTACAGGCTACTTCACCCAACGCAACTCAACCCCCAACAAAGACAAAAAAAAAAAGTTTGAGCGAAGCTGAGAAACTTTCAAAGAATCCCAACCCCTCTGAGGAAAAAGCAG